CTCCCTCATCCTGCCCCACAGCAGGGCTGGGAGCTCCCCCTGTTCCCACGGGCCAACAGATGAGATTTCACATCCCGTGTTGTCATGCTGGAGGTGGGGGAACTTTTCCAGGTTTTCATTTCCCTGGAACGGAGTCAAGAGCGGTACCACAACTATTCCAGCAGCTGAAGAGGAGAAAAGGGATGATCTTGTCCTTCCCAGACATTAGGAGGGGTTTTTAGCTCTAATCAGGGTGGTGCAGATCCATTTCCCTCTCCTTGGCTTCCTGCACCAGGATAAAACACACGGGAAGTGTAGGCAGAGTGTGAATGGATTTGTGAACAATATTGGCCTGATTTCAGTTGTAACCCATTAAATAAAACATAATTAAGCTCCATTTGCTTTGCAGATAATTAGCAGACAAGCTCAAGCCTCGAGTTAAAGTGCACTTTGAAATTGCAGGTGTGTTGTGATGTAGCTAAAGGCTGAAGGCAGTTTCTGATCCCAGGTAATTGAATTTCAGGTGCAGCGCTCACTTTTCATCCTCAGATAAGCTGGTTTCTGATCTCTTTTGGCTTTTCCTGCAATTAATTTGCATGTGTCTCTTCAGAAACTGTTTCTAAATAATGAAAAGGAGCATCTGGAATGAAGAGCTGCATGTCAAATCCACTGTACCATCCTTCACCTCCATGCACAATAAGCAAACAATATCTTGATTAATCATCAATTATAACAAACCTCTTCATCATTCTCATTCTTTCTGGAAGATGTGAGTTTTGGCCCAAGAGGAGTCTGGGATTATTCAGGGAGTTGTGCTGCCTTTCCATGAGAAAAAAATGAGGAACATCAAGATCAGCAAGTCAGGTCTTTATAGTTCCTGTTCTTGATGGGTTTGCATTGAGAATATCCCACATTTCCCCTGCCTCATCCCTTCCCAGAGCCCTGGGCTGCTCCAGGCAGATTGCAGGAGTCTGGTCATTCCAAACATTCTGTCCCTCCAGATTAGAATTTAATGTTCTTGTGTCCTCAGCCCAAATATTTGGTGATATTTCTCTTGCCAGTTGTTTTAATGGTTTGTACCAGGTATTTTCTCCTCACCACAGTTCTCTGCCCTCTTCCTGCATCCTTTCCCACTTAATCCTCAGGAATAAATCCTGAGGAATAATCTCCAGGCACCCACTCAAACACAATTGCAATTCCTTTCTCCTTGCAATTTTCTTCCTATTAGTGACCTTTTGGTTCTTCATCCTGTATGAAAAAGGTCCTCTTAAAGAGAGTGGAATTAAATGGAATGTGATTTGGGGTTTTTACAGCATATTTCACATATTCATGGCAGATTCACAAATGCCAGAGTGGTTCTTTCAAAAGCGCATTGGTTTTTGTTGGATAGCTGGGCTGGGGGATGAAAAGAAAAGGAAAATACAATAAAATGGGGAACTTCACGCACCTGAAGTTCACCATCTTGTCAAAAATGGAACTGCCGGGTCTCCCTCTCTTCCAGCAAGGGAGGGAGCAGTTTAAGCCTCAAACTCCTGGAAGCTTCATGGCACAATGTTGGGATTCCAGGTCCAAGCTAAAGAAACCAAAGAACCCCCTGAGAGCCCCCAGGCTGGCCCTGAGCACAGCCCGAAATCCCCTCTGGAGGCCCCGGGCGGGCAGGACCGAGCCCGAAGCTCAGAGGTACCGGCACAGCCGGGCTGCTCAGCTGGAGAACGTCACCCCTGCACTGCTCTGCACCCAGCACTGGGCTCCCACCAGTTCCTTCCACTGCACTGGGAGAGGGCTCTGGGGGTCACTGGGCACCTGGGGAGCACCAGGGAAATCCTCTGCATGGGGAAGGGAAGGCTGGGCTGGGTCACTCCACGTGGGAATCACCACGGAACTGCCTGAAGAACGAGGATGGCTCTTCTGGGAAGGCCCTGCCTCCAGCAGAACATCAGACACAGAGGGTTTGAAATAGCTCTGGTGTAAACAGAATTAAATTCTCCGAGGATAAATCGCATGGCAAATGCTTCTACAAATCTCTGTCACTACAAAAAGTACTTAGTGGCAGTAAACCTCTGAAAGTTTCCTCCTTGCAAGTGAAAGCAAGAAGATTTTTTTAGACCTTGGTAGCATTAAACCCTCCAGCAATGCAGATTTGGTTTGGGTACTCCAGTTTAAATTGTTTCTCTAATTAATACATCTCTCCCTCTTGCCTTCCCTCTCCAAACTCACTGGAGAACCTTTACAACCCGTCAGGGTACAGAGACCCTCCTGTCTCCCCAGGACACTCATCCTCCTCATCTCCGAGCTTCCTGCAGGGATGAGAAAAGCCCCAAAATTCCCATTGGTGCCTTCATTCCCTCCTAGCCGCCCTAACTCTCCTAATTTAGAATTCCTCTTTCTAAGAACGAGTCCCCCTTTCCTCCCCCAGTTTAACTGGGGTTATTTTCAGCACATGTCCTGTGGCAGGGCCTGTGTGAAGGTCAGGTGCGCTGAACCCTCAGGCAGAAGTTTATTTAATCCAAATAATTTTAATTTAGCCACAAACTCCTCAGAGACAAAGCCATTTTAATTAAGTACAGCTCCAGGGACAGTTGAATCTCTGGAAGGACTCGCCAGAAATAACTGAGGGAGGAATCCTCCCTCCTGAAATACCAATTGTTTACACTCCATTTGGGTTTGTTTCTTTCTACTGGCAGCGTTTCTGGTGACCTTGACTTCCTCAAAAATGTTTGCACGGCCTTGATGTATCTTGCAAGTTCCATCTGGTTTGTCCACATTTGCATAACGAGCACATCACCCTAATTTTGAGGAGGATTTGTGTAGGATTAATTAGAACTTTCTGCTGACTAATTAGAACTTCCCGCACTGCCCGTGTGATGGGTTTGGGGTGCTCGAACGATCACGAGGAGAAGGCTGTGAGCTGTTTGTGTGCTGCAGTTTGAAGTGCTGCTGTTCCCTGTGCTGACTCTGCCCTGTTGTGTCCCTCAGGATGCCTTTGGACATCCTGGCAGCGAGATGAGGATAGGGGAGCTCCGTCCTTCCATGCCCGAGACGCCGCTCTACCCCCCAAAACTCGTCCTGCTGGGTAAAGACAAGAAAGGTACTGATGGATTTACAGCCTTTGAGATGAGTCCTTGTGGTGGGGGTGTTCCTCCTCTGCTTGTAAACCACAGCCCGTGGACATTTGTGCACGTATCAGTACAACCCAATACAGCACAATAATAGATTTAACTCAAAAATGTGTTTTTCTGGTGTTTCCTTCCCAAGTGCCACCCCCTGAAAGCGTTTGCTGTGTTTTGTTTCAGAGTCGACAGATGAGTCTGAAGCAGATAAGATCCATTGTCTGAATAACAGCGTTTCCTCAGGCACTTACTCAGACTATTCCCCTTCCCAGGCTTCCTCAGGGTCCTCCAACGCGCACGTAAAAATGGGCTCCCTGCAGACCACGGCTAAAGAAGCAGTGAATAACTCTTTGTGGGGGAACAGGTGTGACATCTTTCCTGACGCAGCTTCTGCTTCCCTTTTAGTCCTCTCTGGGCCCTCAGAGCGACCCTGTTAGGGCGTTTGGGTTTAAAAACCCACGTTTTTTGGTCCCATGCTGGCTGTGCGGGGATGGCCACCCTCCGTATTCCATAATCCCACAGCTGGTGGTTCAGCTCTGTGCCATCTCCAGGCATTAAAGCTCCTGCAGCTGTTGGCGTCCCATTATTGCTGTCGCAGCTCCCTTTGCCCTGGACCTCCCAAAAGGTTCTTGGAAAGCCATAACCTGCGCTGGAAACATTCCAGGACCAGCCTGTCCTGTCTGTGCCGGCCCTAAATCCCCTCACATTGTTCCCTCAGCAGCTCTGCCCCGTTAAAGAGCTGGATGGGGAACAGGCAAAAACTGCCTCTGGTGTCTCCGGTTAAAAACTGGGGGGGAAACCTTCTGCTGCTCTCATCCGTTATTTTTACAGCAGGAAAATCTGTTCAGCAGGATTTCTGGGAACACAGCATGGAGCCAGCCAGGCCTCTGAGTGACTTCTTAGCTTCTCCGTGCGTGTCCCGACGGAGTCTGTGCTCCGGGGCAGAAACCTGCTGCCGCCATTCCCGTGCCAGTGGCACGACATCCACGAAGTTCCCAACAGCCTGAGAGTAGCTCAGTTGGTGCTAAGAACACCGAGGGGGCAGGTTTGATTTCCTGGACTCAGTGATCCTTGTGGGGCCCTTCCAGCTGGGAATATTCCGTGCTAAGAACCCCCAAGGTCTCCCGGTGCGATCAGATGGGAGAAGGCCGGGTCGCTTTCCAAGGACGATGAGCGCTGACGTGCTGGGACAGAGGACATTTTATCTTGTTCCCCTCTCTTGTCTTTGCAGGCTGGCCCAGTCGTTCCCACAGCCCCTGGAGACCAAGCCATTGCTGAGCCAGCGGGAAGCGGCTCCGGCCGGGAATGTTCCGGCGCGCCCGGAGCGGCGCCCGCTGAGCGACGCCTTCGCCGACAGCTGGAACGACAGCTCCCACTACGACAACACGGGATTCGTGGCCGAGGAGAGCGCGGCAGAGAACGCCGGCACCAACCCCCTGCTGAGCACCAAATCCAGGAGCTCCTCCGCCCACGGGCGCCGGCCGCTGATCCGGCAGGACAGGATCGTGGGGATCCCCCTGGAGCTGGAGCAGCCCGCGCTCAGAAACACACACGACTCTGAAGTGCCTCCTCCCAATCCTTGGCAAAATTGGACCAGAACCCCCAGTCCTTTCGAAGACAGGACAGCTTTTCCTTCCAAACTGGAAAGCACCCCCAACACCAGCCCTTTGCCCGAGAGGAAAGATCACGTCAAGGGGTCTCCCGAAATGACGAGCACTTTCACTCCAGGAATTCCGTGGGAATATCAGGACGCCAACGCTAACAGGAGCCTCACGAACGTCTTTTCCCACATGCACTGTCGCCCAGACCCTTCCAAAAACGTCATCTCCATCAGCAAGAGCACGGAGCGGCTCTCCCCGATGATGAGGGATTTAAAAACGAACAAGTTTAAGAAGTCGCAGAGCATCGACGAGATCGACATCGGTGCGTACAAGGTGTACAACATCCCCCTGGAAAACTATGCATCCGGGAACGACACCGTGGGCCCCCACGAGAGGGTGGACAAGCTGCTGGGCCCGGAGCACGGCGTGCTGAGCATGTCCCGCAGCCAGTCCGTGCCCATGCTGGACGACGAGCTGCTGACCTACGGCAGCGTCAAGGTGCAGCCGCAGCACAAGGCGTCGGTCACCAAGAAGGTTTACCAGTTCGACCAAAGCTTCAACCCCCAGGGCGCCGTGGAGCTCCCGGCCGACAAGCGGCTCCTGCCGCCCTTCCAGCTCCACGCCGAGTACCTGCCCCAGCCGGCCAAGAGCCTGCCGCAGGAGCTGGTGAGCCCGCGGGGCTACCGCGGCTACGGGCCCGTGGAGCCCATGTTCTCCTTCTCGCAGCCCTCGGTCGGCGAGGAGCCGCCGGCCCCGTTCCCCGGCCAGGCCGCGCGCCCCGGCTTCCCGCGCAGGGCGGACTCGCTGGCCAGCTCGGCGGAGGTGTCGGTGTTCCGCAGGGTGGGCGAGCCCCAGGAGCTGCCCCCGGCCGACAGGTACGGCCGGGCCGCGTTCCGCGGCGCCCCGGAGCGCCAGGGCGGCGTGGCCGTGCCCGAGGCCCAGTTCCTCAAGCGCAACGGGCGCTACGAAGACGAGCACCCTTCCTACCAGGAAGTGAAAGCCCAGACCGGGAGCTTCCCCGTTAAAAACCTCACGCAAAGGAGGCCCCTGTCGGCACGAAGCTACAGCACAGAGAGCTACGGCACGGCCCAAACGCGGCCGGTCTCAGCGAGGCCCACCATGGCAGCTCTGCTGGAAAAGATTCCGTCAGACTATAACTTGGGTAACTATGGCGACAAGCCTTCCGATAGCAGTGATATAAAGCCGAGGCCTCCCCCTGGGAAGGGAAATGAGAGCTGTGCTAAAATGCCCGCTGACTGGAGACAACAGCTACTTAGACATATAGAAGCTAGAAGGTTAGACAGGGTATGTTTGGCATTTCTCTGCAATTAATGCCTTTAGTTGTGTGTTTCGCTCTGTCAAACGATTTGCACGTGCAGTGGTGACCACCAGAATTGCCAGGGTTGAAATTCCTGCCGTGGTGTCAGAGGGACCGGCCCGCCGAGGGCCCTGGGGGTGCTCAGCTGGAGTGAGGGATCCCAGAAAATCCAGAGGCTCCTCACTGATGGTGCCCCTTGGGACAGTCACCGGGGTGGTGGCTCCGGGTCCTGGGTAAACCCAGAGGCTTCACGCTGGTGACGTTCCCTGGGGCAGTCACTGGGGTGGTGATTCTGAAGCCTGGCTAAATCCAGAGGCTCTGCCCCGGTGCCTGTCACTGGGGTGCTGGCTCCTGCAGCTCTGCCCAAAATTAGGAAGAGCTCTGAGGTTCTCCCCTGCCCATGGAAGCGCTGCTGGAGCCACCAGGTCAGTAACGACCGAGAGCTTGGAGAGGTGCTGGGCCCGTCTTGGCAGTAAAAGGGAACAAAGGAAAAAGAGAATAAGTAATAAAATGTATTTTAGCTCTGGTGTCACTGTCAGTGCAGGGGGCTTAAAAGTGTCTATAACTGAGAAAAATCCCTGGGTATCCACTGCCACGGTTCTAATGGGAATGTGATCATAACTCCTGTTAGCTGTAGGAAGTTATGCTGATTTGCCTTCTATCCAAAGGGTACTTTAGTGCATGATTCAGTCATTACCTATTTAATGACCTAATCCATGAATCCGATTTACTCCGTGATCTGAAGTGGTTGTGACAAATTCCTGTGGTGAAACGCATAAGGAGTCATTGCCAAATGTGTCCATATACTGCTTTATGCTAGAGCCTCCTGAGTTTGGTGTTAATATTCTCCTTACCTTCCAGTTGCTGGGATGTGATGATGTTAAATTATCCTTGAGGATCAAATGGGGAAACTTCAAAAGGGGGCTCCAAGGCTGAAGCATTTTCCTCCCTCAGCTCTTTTCCTTGTGCTGTGTAAACCCACTGGAAACCACCTCCTACCCAGGGGAACCAGTGCACCCTGAGCAGGGCCCTTCCTGGTGCAAATAAACCCTTGCCAGGTGTTGTTGGCTTAAGGAACATCTTTACATTTGGTTTACAACATGTGTGAAGGGTGCTTTAACCCTGCCAAGCTGACGCTGGTGGCTGTCCCTAACCCCTGCGAGGTGGTTCCTGCTGGGTGCAGAGCTCCAAGGAGCTGGGCTGGGCTGCCAGCTGGAGGCTGTGCTCGTGGGAGTCCCTGGGGTGGGCACAGCACCCGTGTCCCTGCCTTGCCCAGCTCATCCCGCGTGGGCAGCCAGGTTTTCATGGAGCAGGACTTCCCCAGGGGCTGCTCCTCCACGCCAGGCACAGCCCACCCCGAATTTGGCCGGGTTTTTTTTTTGCAAAAGCAAGACTTGTACCAGGTGAACTCCAGGTCCCACCACCCCCCTTGTGCTGTCAGCGTGGAAGTCCTCTCTGGTGCCCATTTTCTGTACGAGGAGCAATGTACTCGCTTTGTGTGACCAGTGCATGCCTGGAGGAGCTATCGGTACTCGGTACTGTTTGTTGGCTTAAACTAAAACTCTGTGAACTTAACCATGTATGTGTGAGACTTAATTCTGAGCATGTGTGTTCATATGTGTCCCGTGGTTGTTTCCTCTACTCAGAGCGCTGCTTACAAACACCACACAGTTAGCCTTGGCATGCTGCACTCTGGAGGGGTTTCAGCCATGCATGCCGGCCGAAGCATGACTTTAAACTTGCAGCCTAAATCTAAATTTGAAAACCAAATGCTTCAAGAGCTACCTCTACCGAAAGTAAGTATGGGCTAGCCAGCATTCCCGGCATTCCCGGTTAATTAATGATCCTTGCTTCCTCCTGGTTTAGCTTCTGCCTCCTCCTCGTGCTTTTAGGATGCCCAGTCCACAAAGCAAGGCTGGCAGGGATGCAGCCCTGCCCCTCGGTGGCCTTGCTTTTTGGATTCTGGAGCTCCCTGGCTGCCATTCCTGCTCTCCTGCTCTCCTCACACACGCCAGCGCTGTCATTGGCTCAGTGGGGAATGTGGTTTGCTCTGGGACTGTTTGATCCTAGAAAAAAGGGTGTGGAAATGTTAAACAGGCTCCGGGAGACAGGGGTTTTAATATCTGAAAATTAATTGGGTGTGCTGTAATACCTGATGGGTTTTGAACACATTACCACACCCCAAACCCGTTTTAAACTTTGAGAAACACCTGAAAAAGAGACTATTTTCCTCATTCATTTTCTGTTTATCTTGTATTTATTATCAGTATATTGTTGACTAGCACAGACATGCAAAACTATGTATTCCCGAGGAATATCTGAAGGGAGACGCACACAGGACAAGGCAGAGAGGGCCATTCCTGCAGGATTCTCAGTGCCAGGGAGGGATGCTGAGACCTTTCCCTGCATCCCAAGGGATGGGCACGGCTCAGCCTCCCCTGCCCTGGCACAGGAGCTGAGGGCACAGATCAGCAGCAGCAGCTCTGCGAGTGACGGGAGGGCAGCAGAGCCCGGATCCCAGTGCTCCATCTGTGCTGGGAATTGCCAGGCTGGCCCCTTTGGAGCAGCCTGGCCAGCAGTTCCCACAGGAGGCTCAGATCCAGGGGTTTGAGGAGAGCAGGATGATGCAGCAGCAGCAGGAGCTGGCCCAGAGCTGTGCCCTGCTCCGCTTGCCCACGCGTGCTCCAGCCGGAATTCCGGCGGTGCCGGGCAGGATGGCAGCACACAGGGAGCAGTGCCACGCCTTCCCCATGTCCCCAACCCTCCATCCCCTGTCACCTCCATGCCATGTCCCCCCGGGCTCCCGTGCTGCTCTGGTGGGCGGGAGGCTCCGGGGGATCCCACCTGGATGTGTGTGCTGGGCAGGGACATCCCGCTGTTGTCTTTGCTTCCCCAGAACTTGTCTGTCTGCTCAGGTGCTTGTCACGAGTCCCTGCCAAAATCCATTGGGCACCAACCCCAAAGAATGGGGCTGGTTCCCTCCACACGTTAGGAATGAGGTGGTTTGTGCCACTGCCAGGGCGTTTCAGGCTGTAGGTGAATATGGATATTAATGATGGATGTCTGAGGAAATCTGCTCTGTGATCTATTTTGGGGTGCGGGTCCGATGTGGTTTATTCTGCTTTTCTATCTCACCAGCATTCCATTGATCCATATCCATAGAAACTGTGACGCTGAACTGCACTGAGGGGTTGTTCTCTGGCTGTACTCTTTGGGAAAACGATTGTTGGGAAAGATCACTGCAGGGGGAAATGACTGTTGGAAAAATGCCGTGTATATTTAGTGCTGTTTAATTTGATTGCTTCACACCTTCCACAGAATTTGCATTTCCTAAAGAATCCAGGCCACAGCAATTTAATCCTTGCCTCTTCTGCTCCCTCCTTCCCGTGGCCTGGATTCAAGAGAGTAATGAGTGAGCTCTGGATGTCAGGAGATCAACTTTAACAATGAATTACCTTGAAAATGTTCATTACATCAATCTGCTCCCTGCAGAAAATGTGGGAAGTGCCGCTTTTCCTTTTCCCCAGATTTCATGGAAGTGGAGCTGGGTTGCAGCCTGTCCCAGCTCAGAAAACAGCCTAAATTTTAGGGACAAATTCCTTTTGCCACAACAAATGAAACCCCAGGATCTCCCTGTTTCCGAAGGAAGCTGAGAGCACTCTCTGCATTTTCCTTTTTCCCTCTGGAGTGCAAACTCCCTTCTGCAGGGCCAGCCACCTCCAGAGGGATCCCTTCCCCTTCTGGCTCCCAGTGAAAAGGTTTAAAAGTTCCTGGTTTGGTGCAGCCCATTCCCAGGATGGGAATTCCCACGTCCCTTGGGAACAGCAGGGATGGGGGAGCAGAGGCTGAGCCAGGGGAGGGCTCCAAAAATCCATCCCTCGGGATGTGAGCAGATTCCCAGGACAGCTCTGGAGGGGATTGCTCGTTTTTCCATTTTAATGGGGTAAAGAAAGCTCTGCAAGGAGATCCTGGGCTTTAAACAGGGGAAATGTTTTTTTTCCTAGTGTTTTTTCATAGAAGGAAAATCACACATTCCATGATTTTTTTTCTGGAAGATATCTTGAATGATAAAAAAATAATAATGGAAGTTTCCTTTAATTTTAAATAATTAGGGTTGGCCTTTTTTCACCTCATCTCAGAGATGTGATTTAAATCATAATTTCCTTCTTTTTCAACTTTTTCAACTTTTCAACTTCTGTTTAAAAACAGTTTTTAATGGAAAAATCCCCACATTTCAAAGCAAATTTGATTAATTCTTCATCCATCTAGAGAAGCGTATCCTGATTTTTTGTTTTTATTCAAAGCTGGAGAAGAAATGCCTGGAATGGCAGAGGGGAAGAATATTACTTTGTTCCTTTTGAGATTCCCATTAATCAATAACCACTGAACTGTGCCAGGTGCTGTCAGTGGCAGGACAATGCTGGAATTTTGGGAAGTATGACACGCAAAAAGTGTTAGGAAAACTCCCGGTGATGGTCGAGAAATAGAGGGACAGATAATGGAAATTCAGGGTGAGGCAGGAAAAGTCCAAACCCCCTCCAAAATCCTGCAAACAGGAATTAAATAAAAAGGGGGGAAAGCGACAAGGAAGAAACATGGAACAGGAGAGAAAAGGGAATGATGAGCGTTGAGGAAACTTTTCCTGTATGTTGTGACCATACATGATGAGACAAACATCGAATTCCAGGTTAATATTGTAAAAAATGTCCCTGGCACAAGCCAGGAGGTTCTGGGAGCTGCACACGGAGCCAGCACAGCCTCGGCGCTGCCAGCAGGGGATGTTTGCTGCAGAAAACACAAACAGCTCGTTTTCCCGGGTGGCAAATCCTTCCAAAAAAAGTTCCTGCTGCTGGAATGAGCAGTGAGGAAGTCCAGAATTAATGCCAGGCTGTATAAATATTGGAATTTTGCCAAAACCTGCTCCTCTGAAAGCATCGAGTCCCGTTCAGTGAATTTTCTCTTCTCTCTCACCATTCATTATTCTCATTATTTCTGTCCTGAACCTCTCAAGCCCTCCTGCTTGCAGAGAGCCCCCCCAGCGATGCCCAGCAGCGGGCAGGCTGGGCGCTGTGGCCACAGTGCGCTGCTGGGGTGTTGTGGAGGGTTGTTGTGGCTCCGCTGAGCGTGGAGGGTTTGTGCTGGTGACTAAAGGCTGCCCTGCCTTTGTGAACAGACCCCGTCGCAGCAGAGCAGCCTCCTGGACAACGGGCAGGACGACGTGGCCGTGGGCAGCCCCTGGAACCCCTACCCGCTGGGCCGGCGGGACGTGCCCCCCGACACCGTCACCAAGAAGGTAAGGGGTGCCACCAGCCCGCCCTGGGGACACAGGACAGCTCTGGGCAGCTCTGGGCAGCAGGACACAGGACAGCTCTGGGCAGGAGGACAGCTCTGGGCAGGAGGACAGCTCTGGACAGCTCTGGGCAGGAGGACACAGCACCCGGGGCTGTCCCAAGGCTCAAAGCAGGAGCTGCTGTGAGTTGAGGGTGGTGTTGTCACTTTGGCCTTGATGCCTTGTTCAGGCTGCCCTAGAGCAGAGGCTGGGCAGAGTCCCAGAATAAATTAGGGATTTATCCAAAGCATCTCCTCCATGGATCCACCTTGGGCAGCACCAGAGCCCAGCCAGGGCTGCACCCAAATGACCCAAAATGGTCCCAAAATGCACGAGCGCTCCGGGGGCTCTCCTGGGATCAGTTCTGCTCCATTGGCACCTTGGAGTTCATTGTCCCATTCCAGCTCCAGCCCATCAGTCCCACCCTGCTTGTTTTTCTCTCTCCAGCCCACGCTGTTTGTGCTCCTGGGCTGAGGTTTGGATCATTTGTCCTTGGTGCCCAGCTGGAGCAGGAATTGTTTTGTCTCCCTGCTCTGTGCACAGAGCTCAGCATCCCCTGGTGTGAAGCTCAGAACTGCACACTAAAGCAGCTCAGAAGCTGAAAAACAGAAAAGCCAAAGCCTGAGGCATCACCCCTGTGTGTGCTCTGGCTCTGCTGTGGGCAGTGGGCACAGAGGGCTGGGCAGGGCTGCTCCTGCCCTGGTCCTGCAGGGTCTCATGCCAAGGTTTCACCCCAGAGATGTTGTTCAGTCCATAAACACACGAGTGCTGGGGTGGCTCCAGCCCAGCCCTGCCCAGACGCAGCTGATATTTTTGTTGATAAACTCCCTTTCTGTTGCTTCTGTGCTGGTGGATATTGAATTCCAGTGGTGCCCCTCCCAGCCCCAGCTCTGCTGGTGGGTTCAGGAGCTACTCCGGCCATAAAGCTGGAGAACGGAGAATCCTCAGGAACCGTGCTGGAGGAGGAGCTGCAGGGATGAGCCGGGATAATGCAGGGATCACTGTCAGGAGATCCATCCCACCCAGCCCTGCAGTGCAGCAGTGAGTGACACCGCGATGTCACACCGGCACCTGTGAGGATCCCAAGGAGCTCCAGCTGCTCCAGGCTTTTATATTTGGCCTCACAGGGAGATGCAGCCGGGGATCCCTGAGTGCAGGATTGCCAGGAGGATTGCCCTCCATCAGGGCACGGGGAGGAGGAGGAGGAAAGCTGGTGGTGAGGGATGGAGCTGGCCCTGACAGACGAGTTGTTTGTCCCCTGATCTGCAAGAAATCGGGCTGAGCAGCGTCCGAGCCCTCATTCCCAGCCCCAGAGGCCAGCAGGGGATCTTTATCCCAGTGCTTAAGTGAAAAACTTGCCCAGGGTGAACTTCTCTTTCACAAATCTAAAGGATTTTTTTTCCTCCTTGAAAAGAGCACATTAAAATACATGCAGAAATCTGAGAAACACAGGGAACGTTCTGGTATTGCTGCCGTGTGGGAAAATGCTGCCAGTCCCTCCAGTTGATATATTTTATAGCATTTTTATAATTTAGCAATATTCCAGTGGCTTCTCCCATTTGGTGGGGTGCAGGGGCTCAGCTCCTCCAGGGAAATGGGATGTGAGGGAAGGAGGTGCCTGCCTGGGGCAAGGTTTGGTGTGGGGGCTCCGGAGCTGCGGGGCTCTGGATTTGCGGGGATGCGGGAGCTGCGGGGCTCTGGGGGAGCTGTGGGGCTCTGGGGGAGCTGCGGGGTTTTGGAGCTGCACGGTTCTGGGGCTCTGGGGTTTTGGAGCTGCAGGGTTTTGGAGCTGCAGGGTTTTGGAGCTGTGGGGTTTTGGAGCTGTGGGGTTTTGGAGCTGTGGGGTTTTGGAGCTGCGGGGTTTTGGAGCTGTGGGGTTTTGGAGCTGTGGGGTTTTGGAGCTGCGGGGCTCTGGGGAAGCTGCGGGGCTCTGGAGCTGTGGGGTTTTGGAGCTGCAGGGTTTTGGAGCTGTGGGGTTTTGGAGCTGCAGGGTTCTGGGGCTCTGGGGTTTTGGAGCTGCGGGGTTTTGGAGCTGTGGGGCTCTGGAGCCGTAGGGCTCTGGGGCTGTGGGGTTTTGGAGCTGTGGGGTTTTGGAGCTACGGGGCTCTGGAGCCGTAGGGCTCTGGGGCTGTGGGGTTTTGGAGCTGTGGGGTTTTGGAGCTGCGGGGCTCTGGAGCTGCGGGGTTTTGGGGCTGCGGGGTTTTGGGGCTGCGGGGTTTTGGAGCTGCGGGGTTTTGGAGCCGCGGGCCCGGCTGTCGTAACGCGCTGGTTGCCCACAGGCAGGTAGCCACATCCAGACGCTGATGGGCTCGCAGAGCCTGCAGCACCGGAGCCGGGAGCAGCAGTACGAGGGCAGCATGAACAAGGTGACCATCCAGCAGTACCAGCCCCCCCTGCCCATCCAGATCCCGTCCTCGCAGGGCTCCCGGGCCCCCCAGCCCCAGCGGTGCCTCATCCAGACCAAGGGCCAGCGCAGCACCGACGCCTACCAGGAGCAGGTGAGGCACGGGGGACCGGGCAGCTCCGGGCACCAAGAGTCCCAAAGTGCCTTCTCCAGAGTGCCCCCGGGAGAGGGGAACCCCAGGCAGGAGTGGGGCAGCTGAGCCGGGCAGCCCAGGGGAGCTGGGACTGGAGAGCTCTGGTTGGGCTGGAGGAGCTCTGGATGGACTGGGGGAGTTCTGGTTGAACTGGGGGAGCTCTGGTTGGACTGAGGGAGCTCTGGTTGGGCTGGAGGAGCTCTGGTTGGGCTGGAGGAGCTCTGGTCAGACTGGAGGAGCTCTGGTTGGGCTGGAGGAGCTCTGGTTGGG